CTTCGTCAGAAGTCTTCATCTTGCTCAGATAGTCCCGAAGGCTTTCGAATTCGGTTGTACTCTCTAGCGTTTCGCTGCTGCTTGATATATCTTCGCCAACTGCAACAACATTTCAGTTAACAGCTGGGGTGAAAAATACTTGAAAAAGGAATCTCATCTGTTGTTTGTGTTTATAATAGTATTTATTTCTGGACACGCCGCATTGTCCAAATGATTTTTAGCAAAATGGAATCTGGCATTCAAATATGTGTTTTGTATTTCAAGAACCTTATCCTTTTAACTTTTGTTCCCATTTTTGCTAGAAAAAACAAAATGTGTTTGTGAAACACTCATGCCCCCGTACGTCAGCTTTTAGAAAAGGTTGAAGTTTCTCAAATGCAAATCAAACTCCAGGGTCAAGAGATAAAAGATTATGTAACCTAAAGAAAGGAAATGTACCTGTGAAACATGAAAGCCCAAGCAATAACCATTAAAAAGATGTGGCCTAAGTTTAAGTTTTTAAATGTGTGTCAACATTCAACGTCAAAGGGTTAAATTATAGACAGCAAAGAAAATGCTTTGTCATAAAAAAATCAAAATTTAAATATTTAAGCCCTAGCACCAACTGTTCAAAAAGTTATGGACAAAGCTAAAGTAAATTTTTGCAAAATTTGATAAGACTGCAGATCAGAGGTCAGATATGTTGGTACCCGGAGAAAGGTCATGTCACAAGAAATAAGCATTTGAAATATGAGAGCCATAGTTCCAACCAATCAAAGGTTATGGGCAATAATAAAGTTGTTGCAGACAAACAGACGGACGGACAGGGCAAAATTTTATACCCTCAAATATTCGATTACGGGGGCATTAAATTACGCCTTTACTTTAATTCGGTAAGAGTGCATCCCAACACCCACCCTCATGTACAAGGCTACAAAACTCCCGTCCGTAACTAAAGAGTGCACCAGAGAGATAATCTCGAAACCACTACGGACTAGAACCATTTAAAAAATGCAAAATGGCTATTGATCGAAAATTGATAATCAGTACTTCTCAGAGCTTGGATAAACAATTTAAATGCATGTACTGAATAAAGTTAGTGTCTGTGGCCATATTCTTTTGTGCTTTTTTTAAAATGTGATGTGTAGTTTACACTTCAATAGGCATGGCAATAATTATATTTGTCACATTGCAATCTGCAATCTGGTTCCTTCCAGTTCTTGTCAGGGGTTAACCAGATTTTCGTTTTAGCTGTTTGGAAATAATAGCGACTTTTAAGGTTTCTTTCACCTCTTCATACAAAAACGTATTTGGAATTCAAATTGTGATCTACCTCTGCGGTTTGCAAGATGGCATCAAGAATAAACAAAGTATATTGCCTAAAAGATGCTGAGCTTAATAAGGATTATATGGTATGTGTAACAAGTTATCGAAAGATCTTTAAAAGTTGTGCAAGAATAACTCGATTGATATGTCAATATTACAATGTGTTTTGAGGGTCGATACGATAGATATACATGTATATATACATATATTTTATTACATGATTGAATAATTTCCCTTCCTGTGATTGACTAAGATCCACAATTGTAGAAAAATAATACGTTATTTTGAACTGCACATGACCTTCTAGGTCAATACAAGGAATTATTGCAGGTCAATATAATGATTCATGTGACCTTCCAGGTCAATATAAGGATTTATTGCAGGACAATATTTTGAATCATTCCTATTCCATTTTTCCTGTTACAATGTGTTCTTGTAGAAATTTCTCATTTAAAAAACTTTCAGTTAAAGCAAAAACAGCTTTGTAGGAGTTTTCTATCGTTTAATTATCTAATAAAACAGCTATTGCTGTCTTGTTTTAGGTCAATACAATGGTTTAGCCACCTTCGAAGTACAATATTCACTTCGCCCTTCGAGCTCAGTGAATGTTGTACTCCTCAGGTCTCTAAATCACCGCATTGACCTTAAAAACAGCAATAGTTGTATAATATATACTCTTCAAGAACAGAAACGCATAGTAGGAACAATTCCCTGAAAAAAGTTTTTAGATGGATAATCCGATATGATTGATTTGAGTAAGATGCATTATCTTTTAACACAATTGTTAACTGTAAAGCTATTCCACAAATCTCATAGATAAAAAGTCCTGATTTTGCCAAATGCTAAAATAAAGTTTTTCTTAATTTTCATTTGTTAGTTTTTGATGCAATTCTTTCGTAAACAAAAGGAATATCAAAAACTGGCGATCTCATTGTAGATTCTGGTTTTATCTAAAAATTGACCTATTTTAAAAATGCTGTATCTTAATGTTGCATATCGCAAAAGGGAAAATGTGCGATTGGAAGCAGGTGTACCACAGTTTACAACTGCAGGAGGTTTTAATGTTATGCACATCAGCATATTTAACCAATAAAATCATATATCATTAACCAGGAACATCCAATGTTTGCAAAAAACCTGAACTGCACAGAACATCTAACAATTTTGCAATTGTTTGCAATTGACCATGGAATGCTAGAATTATTGCCACTGTTCTGATCCCACAACACCGTGGTTCCATCAACACCGATACATTTTTGTTAAGCTACTCGTCCAGAATAGTACAATTCTTAGGTAAGATTGGACTTTCAGTAAGGCGTGGCATTCTCGACGTTACATAATTAGCATCTGAAATTTACACAGCTTTTATTCACTGTTGAAATATACATGGGATAGAAATTGGGGCAAATGTCAACTAGTGTATTGAATAACCATTAACATTGCCTCTTCCGGCAAAGAGATTCAGCTTAAGTCGTCTCATTGTTGTCAACAACTTTTAATGTTCCTGATGTATTAATTTCTTAACCAATGCGAATCTATTCGCCATTTTACAGACGCTAATTACGCTAAGGGCCGAGAATACCATGCCTTACTGAATTTCCAAGCTTGACTGAGAATTGATTGCCCTATTTATTGCAAAGCCTATTGTAAGTCTAAGAGTACATATTTAAGCTTCGTAATGAACGTTTTACAGAAAACTTCCTCCAGGAAGTTGAAAGATGTGGTGGTTGTAGTGTAATATGGAAAACTGTATTACATAAAAGTAAAACTGGTCTGGTTCATATTCAAAGGATTTAAAGGAAGCTCTAAACAACAGAAACTGTTTTTTGGACTCAGAGAAAAATATATCATATAAAGATATGGATATTGAGACTTTTTCATTCATTTAGAACAAAGGATACGTGCCTTATTTGCGCAGGAAAAATGTTCAAAGACAGTGGATTATTGTGAGCAGAAATCACTGTTGTTTACTGACGTTGGAAAAATTAATGAAAATAATTAATTAAATTTCTTACTCTTGGTCTTATATAATGCTAAAGATATATTAATCTACTATATTATGTAATAAACGGTAAATAACAATTTCTTCAATTTTACATCTAAGGAGAGATCACTCTAACTGCATAAAACTATCCAATAAATAGAGCTCTTTAGTGTGCAGTGTTTATAGCTTCCTTAAAAGAAAAAGTACTCCAAGGATATATTCTACCTGCAAATGCCTTTCCAATATTGCAGCATACGGCTCATTTGACAATCACATTCTTGCAAACCAACAACAACCTCTGCCATGGTCATCTAAAAAGCCAGATTTAAACCCAATTGAGCAAGCATTAGACAAAACGGATTGACATGGTTTTTCCAAAGACAATTGCATCCCCAGACTCTACAACAACTGACCAAACCTCTACATTTGGAGGAGGAGAGTATACCTATACAGCATCTATTACACACATCTGCTTCCATTAGATGCCGTTTTATGCTATCATTTGTGTCTGTGGGGGCATACTAGATATTGATCATTAATGGCCTTGAACTGTCTATGATTTTAAAATTCTTGAGTAATTAAAACATTTAGATAGGAGACCTATTGTTAACCACATTTCTCTATTATCAATACATCATTTTACTAAATAATCTTTATGCTTAATGTGATAGTAAAATTCCACAGTGACTATGCGTTTTTTAAGAGTATATATAAAGCACTAAAAACCTAAAAACACTATACATTGTATATCCTAAGTGTCGGATCTGCAAAGTAGATACATGTACAAGGTCACGGGTGGAAATTTATATAAAGCACTAAAAATGACCAACGACGCGGACAATAAAAATTGTCCGATACAACAACTTGTTAGTTCATACATGTTTAGTCTGTCGTTAATTTTAATGTTGCCTGGTGCTTTTCATACAAATTGTTAGGCTATTGTATTGATTATCAACGGAATTTTTCCGATCACTACAAGGAGCTCATGGTCGGTGTTAACGGGTGACAGGGGATGCCTTTTTCTCCGAGGTATCTCATTCCAACTGGTCTGTGTGTGTCCTGCTCCTAATATGCATTGTTCCAAAGGACTTTTGAGTTTGATTACTGTTCGTTATCTTCAGATTCATTACCTTAATCATTCCTTGTAAGAATTTTTAACTCTAGAAATGTTTTTTCTCATTATAGATAGTTCCATAAAAATTAGAAACCCTAAAGAGAAGAAGCACAGTAACTTAGCTTTATCATCATGAATTCAACTTTCACGACAGTGGTAAAAATACGGCAATGTTCTCAATGCAAAGAAAAAAATGTAGAATTTTATTGTAAAATATGCAAACAAGATTTGTGTATTTCTTGTAAAAAGAAACATGTATTATATCTTGACTCCAAAAATCATGATGTGATGATGTTTCGTTCAAAGTATGGGGATTTTTTAATATCAGATTGTTGTGTAAGACACAGGAGCTTAAACAAGTGGTTTCAAGCATGTAAAACTCAAATCTGTGTCAAATGTAATGAAAATCACCTTGAACTCGAGGAATTGGATCTTCAATCAGCGTATAAAACTTGCAGACAAATGTACAGTAAAAGGATTACTCATATTAGAAGTGAGATACTTTTTCGTAATCGTGCTATCCTGGCAGGGATAAATAATGATCTCAAAATGAACACTTGTCATAAAGATTCAAAAATCTCTAACCTTCAATCAAAAATGAAATGTAAAGCCCTCGATCTTAAGGCTTTGATTGACTTGGTTATAAATGGTGAAATTGAAAGATTAAAACTTGCAATGAACTCAAAACTACAACAACTAAAGAAAAACATAATATGCATGGAGAAGTATGAACACCGATCTAAACGATTAGCAAACAAAGCCGTGCAGTTTCTCATGTTTTTTAAAGAAAAACCATTACCCAAAGCAGAGGCTATGTGGAGCACAATTCAGCTGTCCGCGGTTACTGGACTCAGCAAACTGAATGTGATCGACTTTTTTAAAGAAGTTCAAATTACGGAGATTGGACCTAGAGTGGTGCACAATAAACAGCTGTTTAAACTGTTGCCTAAAGCTGTTTTACAAAAAGATGTCACAGTTTTAGGTACTAGTTCTATTAATCACATATCCCATGTGACGCCAGACCGGGTTTGGGTAAGCGATGATGACAATAGTTTCCTGATAGATACATCAGGTAACATTCTTCACATATGTGAACACGACTCTTCCTCTGTTGGAGTGCATACAGTGGCAAATGCTGGAGAACTTGTCTATATAGACAGAGATAGTAACATATCAAAACTATCTACAGACAACAAAACAAAGACAACATTAATTGAAACCGAAAAACTTTTGAAAGTGTATTGTGTCTATTGCTCTCCTTCTACTGGAGATATTCTTGTTGGAATGGGGAAAGAGCATTACGATGATCCAGAAGTAATAGTATATTTTACAGAGAACAAGGTGAAAAGGTACAAAAGCAGAGGAGAGGAGGTTCAGACCCTCCAGTTTAATGATGTCACAGGGGCAGAACTATACGATGATCCTCCATTGATGATTACTGAAAACCGTAATGGAGATGTTGTTGTTTCTATTTATCTGACTGGAACACGTTTTGGTGTGTTGGTGGTTACGGACCGTGAAGGAAAATACCGCTTCATGTACTCAGGACCACCATTTCCGCCTCCCCCCTCGTTACCACCCAACTATAACTACTTTCGCTCAAGTGTACTTATAAATCCTCGTGGAATCTGTACAGATGCGCTGTCAAACATTGTGGTCTGTGATTTCGATACAAATACAGTACAGGTTATTGACAAGGACGGCCATTTTTTGTCTATTCTTCTGACAGAAAAACAAGGGATAGGAAAACCATGTAGCCTGAGTTATGATGATATCAATCACCTTCTTTGGGTGGGATCCGTCAAAAGCAACAAGCTGTGTGTATTCAGATATATAGATCGACAAGACTATCTTACAGGTTTGTTATTCTATTGAACGTTATTATATCAGCACAGGAGTCTGAAGTTTTTATCGCCAATCAAAAAAAAAAATTCCGGAAAAAAATACTTCCCACCCTTAACTAAAAAAACATAAGGATGGCAACGTGTTTTGGGGGCCCAAATAAACAAATAGATCTGGGCTTGGCCAGAAAAATCTCGCAAATAATTATCAAAATTATTATTTTTATTAACATCTCTTATTTGTAAGAACTTTTCAGCTTCCAGGCCCCCAACCCCCAAAAAGGACCTTGCCTTAGACCCACTGTGGGCTTCAGTACAGCCACCTGACCCTCTGCCGTCTACTGGGCCCTCCCCCCTTACGAAATTCCTGGATCCGCCACTGTAAAATGTTGTGAGACAGTAATTGTAATCATTGTATCTTTTTTACGGTTCGAAAATAAGTTTTAAAAAAATGTGTTTATGAAACACTATGCGCCCGGTGGAAATGTTCGAAAAAGCTATTTTTAGCAAAAAGGTCAAGGTCACAATTCAAAAGTTATGGCGAAGGTTAAAGTTGACAACAGACAGATAAACAGACAAACAGACAGACAGGAAAAAAAAATATAAGTCCCCGATCTGTCGATCGGGCGCATAAAAAATGATTGTTATACCTTTAAAAATTTAATTGTTCCTACACATATCTATACGAAAAAAGTCATATTTTGCTGAGCAGGCATAAAAAATCGATGTTGGACCGCTGAGTGAGATGTTGGATCGGTCGATGAGATGTTGGACCGCTTACGTCACAGAATGGGCGGTGCTTAATATCATTTTATTCGTTGGTGTTCAAAAGTGACGAACCCGAGGTTGTGTCACGGAAAACTACATGTATGTTAAAAAAATCAAAATGAAAGGTATATCAAAACATTTATTGACTATCTTTTGGGGCAAAATGCGTTTTGTCGACCCTCGAACCAAACTGTCTACAGTCAATAAATGTATAGTATTTTCAGTTTTTGCAGGACTGATCGAAAACCCAACTTACCACTTCCTTGTCCTCCCCGCTTTCATCAAGTCACCATGATATCGTTTATTTTTTAACAAATAGGTTTGAAAATGCATATTCATTTCGTTTAAGTGGGTTCCAAAAAATGCTGAAAACTGTTGTCGATGTATTTGAATTATCAATTATCATGTCTCTGTCATTACTTTACAAGATGTGTTTGTGAAACACTTTGCGTCCGGTGGCAACAAAGTTCGAAAAAGAGGCTATTTTAGCATATAGTTCACAGTCAACAAAAGAACTTGATACGTGGAGTATAAATACCAAATATGAAGTTTCTATCTCTTATGGTACAAAAGTAATGGCAAATGGTACAAAAAAAGCTATTTTAGCATATAGGTTACAGTCAAGGTCACAATTAAGGTCACTGACCTTGGTGTCATTTGAAAGAACTGAACTGGTGGAGTATGATACTTAAAAATCTTGATAAGTTGAACTATATAGATCACGTGGAAATATGGGTAGTTTGCAGCAAGGAACGGCTGCATCAGCGCTGACCAAGGCATCCCGCTGTGTCACTCAGTTAACTTTTGATAAACACATTATCGGAGAGGAAAAACACAAGTGAATAAATGCACTGCCTTACTTTGTTGAACTACATCACATCTTAGAAAAAATATTTTGAAAAGGCTTTTTATAATTTTTTTCACCATGATTTTAGGAATGTGGAATAAAACAATTGTAAAAGAAGAACTGAATAAAAAGAACCTTTTTATCTAAATTTTTATTTTTCCTCAATATGCTTTAAAAGATATAAAGTAATTTATAACAAACAAAAAAAATGGAAAATGTTTCTGTAAAGATTTGAATTATAGATGTTTGTTGTTTCTATAACGTTTTAACAATGTTTTCCAAACATTTCAAAACAATGTTATATTGATGTTTTCTGTTAACATCTGTAACCAGAATTTATGATAAATTTCATTCAAATTAACAATAGATATTTTTAAAATTTGAGCCAACGTAACATAATTAATACACCACACATTGTGTACATTCTTAATAACATATTGTGGTTTTTTAAAATAGTTTTTTTCCCAAACAATGGAATGTGAAAATATTTTTTAATCATGCTTTTTAAATAATAAATATGATTCTACATATTATAAAAATGTTTCTAAAAAACTTCCTTCCGACCAGAATTAAAAGTTATGAAAAATATTTTTTAAATGTTTTTGAGAAACGTTTTCTAAAGACGTCCTTATAACCTAACTTAAACGTTATTAAAGCATTTTACAAACGTTATGTCAAAAACGTTTAGGAATAACATCCTTACAACCGGAATAAAATGTTATGAAATCGTTTTGTGCTCCTGGAAAAAACAACAGACAGGATAA